TTTTCAAATTTTTGTAATTATTTTATGATTTTCTAATTTGTAATTTAACTAATAGATATTTTCGATTGTTTTTTTTAGTTAGATCTTATCATATAAGTGAAACCCTATTTTTTTGTTATATATATATATATACACGTTTTCTCAGTTCATTGCAAATCTTAGTCTTATTATATATCTCTCTATCTCTCTGTAGATTTATTTCATTACGATTTTTCTTTCTTTTTCGTTTTATGGCTTTTGATTTGGGATTTGGTTAGTAGTGAGATCAGTTGATGAGCAAATACTGCAACAATATGATGGAGAAAATCTTTGTGATTCTTAGTATGATCCAATTTGATTATCCTCTCTTTCTTCTTCTCGATTTTTTCAATCGGATTCACAAACTTTGAATTTTTTTCCATTTTTTCTTGACATATTCTTTGGGTTGGAAAGAAGAGATGTGATGAGTAACAAATTGGTCCGTGTTTCAGTTTAATCATGAACGAGAACTGTAAACCAAACTCTGATCTCAATATTTTATTTTNTTCAGCATATGATTTTTCGTTTTGTCTAATTTATTCAACAGTTTGGTATTTGACTCTGTNATGACTTTGCCTAATTGGCAATATACGCTATTCTTAAATCTTTTATGAAAGATAAATACATTAATTTTAAATGAGAGCCATTGACATTGTTTTTTTGTTTTTTTTTTGAATAGTTTTGGTAAGCTTATACTATGATGATCTTGAATAAAATTCACATGTCAGACTTCAGAGATTTTACTTTTTACGTTTGATGTTCTGTTAAATTCTCATCTCTTATATATTACGTTCGTAATGGTATATAGTGTTCTAATGTTTATGAACTTTTTTTTAACGGATTCTCTGTTGTTTTTTGATCTTCCTACTTTTACAAGTTTTAATGGATTNTCATGGCTATTCGGTCATCATAATATTAGCATAATATTATAGTGTTCTAATGCTTATTAATTTTTTAACAGATTATCGGTTGTTTTTTGTATCTTCCTACTTTTACAGGTTATAATGGATTTTCATGGCTGTTCGGTCACCAAAATATTATAGTGTTCTAATGTTTATGAACTTTTTAAGGGATTCTCTGTTGTTTGTTGATTCCTACTTTTACAGGTTTTAATGGATTCTCATGCCTGTTTGGTCATAATAATATTAACATGACTTCTATTAAGTTCTATTT